ATTAGAATGATTTCTGAAGGATCATGTGACACTGAAGACTTTAAAGGAATAAATTCCATTTTGAAATATATTAAAATAGAATGCAGTTATTTTAAATTATAGTTTTTCACAGTGTTACTGTTTTTACTGTATTTTTAAGTCCAGTTTTGGTGAGCAAAACAGACTTCTTTCAAAAACATGGAAAAAATATAAAAGCATTAATATTACCATGACTAACCTAAGCAAAAAAACGATACAGCAATTAACCTGACATGAATAATATTCATAAAAATAATTATTAATATTAATAATTTTGTATATTGTACACACATTTGTATACTGGTAATATTAATTGAAGTAAACAGGAAATGTGACTTTTGTTTTTTAAATGTATTGAATTTCAATGGTTTCGTGGTTTTGACAGCTAATAATATACTACACCATACACACTGTGGTCAGCACTAATCATGTTTATCCTCTTGTATGAAAACTTGTATTTCATGTAGTCTGGGTCTACATTAAATACATAGTTTCTTTACCCCTATGTAGTTTTGTCAGAATAGACCTGCAACCCATTTTTTGGGTCACAACCAGACGATTACGAGCTACTGCTTTAGCAAAAGTAAATTACAATAAATGAACTGTATTGCTGGAACATTTACCCCTGAAACAAATTCAGTAATTCCTTGGATCTAAATGTGGTTTGGGATATCAGCACAAATCACTGCACTAAGCCGGCCCGGATTGGATGTCCACTTGGATTATTTGTGTGTGATTTAAAGTGGAGAGGTCATGTACTCTATGCCTGTAGAACAAAAAGGCCATTCCTAATCTACAATATAAAGAAAGACTTGTGGCCAAGTAATATACACCTTCCATACAAACTGATTAAATAAACAGACTGCAGTGTGCATACCAGAAAACATAGCAAATGTGTTCTCCTCACATAAGTGATGTACAAATAGCATCTTGAAATGATTCCTAGTCAGCACTGTGCGTTATTATTTTTGACTTCAGTATGATAATTGCAAGATTCCACTCAATAGCAAATTGCGATAGCAAAACGCTTAAGTCTGTCTTCACTTTCTGAAAGCTACAGTGCATTAGGTGTACCAAGCAACCGCTTTTATCTCCGAGATAAAATTCCATGAACAGCCACTTGTATGCACTTGTGAACAAGAAGTCTCTTTGAAATTGGTTAAGACTGAACAACTTCAGAAGACATTTTGGCTTCTATCTGTTAGAGGACCCTTACAAGATGTTAGCTGCTCAGACTTACATGTTTTTACTGTAAAGGATGAATGGAATTAATGCTGTTGAAACAGTTGATTTATTTTCAGCAAATTTAATAAATGAAATGCATGGAAAGCCATTAACATGATTTAATGTCAGTTTCAGTTGTGACAACATGCCCCATACTGGGAATGTTAATATAAAATCATATAATCTGTGGACAGTTCTAATGAAACATCTGAATAAACAAACACAAAGGACAAAAAGAGAAATGGCCTGTGTTGATTAGTTCACCTAATAATGCATTCATATTGCCAGTCTAAGTGAATCGCCATTATTAATGAACAGTTATTATGTCCACTCTGAACATGTCAGAGAACATTGTGAGACAGAAAGTCCTGCATGTTGCTTTCTGCCAAATAGACTACAATATGATCTGTTCTGAACATATTGCTGCTGCTTCCCAGCAGACTGTGTGAACAGCAGCACAGCTCAAATCTAAATGAAGAAGACAGCAGTTACCTTACTCAGATCCTTCTCTGCTCTGCACTAGAGTGGTCATTTAACCGTTGTAATGGGGGAGCCAGTCCCCACAAACCTAAAAGACGGATTCAATCCAATACTGGAATGAGAGCTAAACCTGACTTACTTTCTTCTGATGATAAATGAGTTTAGAGGACGAAAAACTTGATGATTGAATAGCAATTATTAAATATAATATCCATTCAATTCATATTTCCGAGTTAAATATGTTTACAATAAAGATACGACTGTAAGTCTGTGTATGTTTAGATATAGAGACACCTACTGATTCTGATCATTAATTTTCTGCACCTAAAAATTCCTTATATCATTGTGTATTTAATATCGCTCTGTGCAATTCAATTAAAGTGCCAATTTAAACATTTTTAAACACACACACAGCATTATTTCAGTTTAAGCTAAAACATTTTGCCCACCTTTGTCCTTTTGATCACTTCTTCAGTGGATGCTGCATGATCCAAGAACACTTAGTTTAAAGATACAGGTGAGACTTCTTCACAGACTGACTAAATCTCTACGTTGCCTTTATTAAATACATCACATGTAAATTTCCTCCTCAAAACGATCCCAACTGGTGCACATTGATCGCGAAGATCGCCACCAAGCACGTGCACAGATGACTGGAGAGTTCCCTCTGCACGTCAATGCGCACAAGTGTGAGGATCCTTCAGTAACGACCAGCCTTCTTATAGACTGCTAGAAAAACTATTGCATTGTACCAACATGATTTCACAGACTTTCCCATCGGCTAAATGAATAAATGTAATCAAATAAATAAAACTAATTGAATTCAATAAAATAAGAAAAAAATAATAATCATTTAACTAGGCATTAGTTCAATAAAGTACAATTTAAAATAAAATAAAAACGTGCAGCTACAGAAAAACGCTCCTATAATGTCCAACATGCTTTTTAATTAGCCATAGTTTCGTATTATTGAAATATTCTTTGTATTAGTAAAGTAAGAATACATAAATTAACGAGTCACCTAAACTAGACGTTAACCTGTTTTATTTTCCTCTCTCTTGGTTCGATTATGTATCATGGGCTGTTCACGGCAACATAAACTACTGAGCTTGATCAATATATTGTACACACAACAACTTATGATGTTGAGGAGGAACTGGAAGCAGAAAACTAATTTGAATAATAAAATGTCAAAGTAAATAAAGCACTCATGCAATAAAAATGAATTTTTATAAGAATGAATTTTACATGCATAATACGTAAAATAATTTTAAAAA